TGTGCTACTTTATACCTGATTTGATTAAAAATCATGTTGCATTTTTTTCTTTCTCTAGTCTACATTACATGGAACATTGATTGAAAATTTACGATTTTAATTTTTCTTTTACTGCACGTTATGTACAGGCTTTTTAGTCGTTCTATATTTCCTATATACCCAAGAAAAGTCAAGAATATTGGCTGAAGATTCTTTTTAAATGAAATATATGTATGTATCAATCAAGAAAAACGCAAGGGCTTATGTAGGCGCCAATAATGCAAATATACAGTAAACTTTATTTTTAGCCAAGACATACAGCAATAAATTCAGTTTTTCAAGCTGAATATACAGATATGTCTTAGTTTTTTGACATGACAGCCGTCACATATAAAAAAGCAAACTATTGATAAGGTATAGAAATCGACAAGAAAAATCTGCTGTTGGAAAAGTGATCTATAATTCTTCATGACTTCATCTTTCGACCTCATCAATTTGACTTTTAGATTCCTAATATTAAAGTGAGTCTTTAGATACTTTATGGAGCTTTGTCGCATATAAAGTGCGCATTGTACAAAAAATTCATGATTGAGTGCCCTTGACTGTTGTATTAGTTGATTTCGGAAATCTATCTAATTAGTCGTAAGAACTAAAGGATATCAGGACTAGTCTTGGACAAGACCGATTCTGTAAAGCTAATAATTGCTACAGTACTAATAGTTTCTAGACTAGTTTGCTCTATGCTTTGAATTTTATCCCAAATTGATTTATTGTCAAAGGATTACAACTCGGTGGAAATATCCATTATTCCATAAAGTTGTATTCGGCATTTGGACGTCTGATATCTGGTCAGATTGTTGGTTTTATGACCTAGAAGAATTGAAAATACTTATCGATTTACGTACAGTTGCCTTGATTGTCTACCGGATTCATATATGCCCGATAGTCGACGGTTTCTTTGGGTGGATCAGTTTTCGATTTGAAAATTTCACGACAGTTTGAAGTAGACGTTTGATTTTTTATTTTATGCACACAATGTATGACCTTATTGATGTGTTTCTGGATTGAACAGGTCAAAAATCGCTTGGATCGCTTCGTCATTTCGATACAACTTTTGGTTTCCATCAGTTTTCTTGATGCATTTTCATCCTGAGGATCAGGTTTGAGACCACCAAAACTTTTCTTGAAATTCTTGCAAATCCATATCTCCAAATTGATTCATATGAATTTTGAATGATTTCGTACCTTGATCGTAGCGGATATTTTCTCGTACAACCAATTTGATATTATCAATAAACTTTCCAAAACGTTTCTTTTCTTCGTCATTGGTTGCGTAAGTTTTTTTATAGAATGACTTGTAGAATTTCCATATTTCCAAGCTGAATTTACTGTCTTTAAATACGTCAAGTTTGTTTTACAACTTTGTCGAAAGCTGTGATGCCTCTTTGTTGATTATGCCATTCATAATCTATCAGTGAAAAGTACGAAATAATGTTTTATTTTTGCTGTTATTGTTACTCTGAAATTAACATACTTCTTGAATAGTTCGACCGTTCGTCAACAGAGTATGTTGAGTTTCCACAAAACAACTCAAAATAACAAGACCAACAAGTAGTATGCGCACCATTATGTAATTTTGACGTTCGTCGATTTGATCATGATGAAGACCGTGTCGATACTATTTCAATTGTTACTCTTATCAATAAGTCCAGAGAAATTAGATTCATCGTCTTATCTTCTCATTATTTGCATTTATTCATATCAGATCCAATTACCACTAGAAAGTGGTGGTTAAGGTATTGGTTTTCACGACTCATGTTTACCATTGTTATTATTCTCATATTTCATCTCACAAAAGTGATCTACATAGGGAGGCATCATACGAATACTGAATACAATCAAATAGTAGTCTATTTTAAGTCTTGCATAGCCACTAGTGCACTTTGAATACTTGTTTAGTGTTTCAGAAATGAATGTAACCATAAACAAAGAAACTACACAACGATATTGAGCAGTTCTCAAACAAAATCAAATTAACAAGTTGAACCGAGCGAGCTGCTCCATCATAGAATCATGCGCGTGCTGAATAAGAATGCACTTTTCACTGTTTCGTATTTGTACGACAATGTATCGATGAAAGAAGAGTGCGCAAGCTGATTCTTATTAAATATAAATTGAAAAAAGCAGAATTTTCGTCAACACTATGAAGCATTTTGGATTTAAGCAGTATAGTATAGAAGAAAACTGGCAGCGAATATTTACCAGGCAGTAATTTCCTCTTTATAAATTAAAATACGAACTACGATTTTCTATTTCACGAACATAGTTGAACACCATATTTTTAATCGAAAAATTTGTTCACGTTTCTGCTACTGTAAAGAATAATTCATTCATTCTCGTTGTATCTGAACTTTTCAGTTTATATACATTATTCACAATTGTTTTCTTGAATATGTAGCTGTTAGCGTTCGTTTTATGCGCGAACACTAACCGTGTTCTTCGCTCTGTAACTTTATTCTTAAAAAGCAAGGGTATATATATGAATAGTGACAACAAAGAAGAAAAGAAATACAAATGTTAATCGAGGTAAAAGAAAAGAAGTAATCGAAGTAAACGATAATATAGAAGATAACATAGAAGATATCGAAGAGAAGAAAAGAAAAGAATAGAAGGATCGAGGTACATGTTATAGTAATACACTGTAACAGTAGCAATTGATAAAATCATAATTTAAAAAGATTTAATTTATGAGAAAATATAATCATTTTTTCAAGAAATTATAGAAGGAACTGAAATAAAAAAATCTTTCTCTTGCTGTGAAATACGTAAGATATGCTATTATTCAAGTTTCAGATATTGATTAGTCTCGGGCTGTACAAAATTTCATTGACCCACGAATGTGTTTTATGCACATCTATGAATATAGAAACATGCTCGAATTATTTTTTGTATGTTTGAGTTAAGAATAAACGAATTTTTAATAGTTGAATATTACACTCAAGAAAGCATCAAAATTTCATATCTTAGATAACCGTCGAGTTTGGTGATTTATTTAAAAACTGAATAGAATTAAACAGACGAGAAACTTTTTGTTTCTTAATTTTTTATATGAACATCTTTTTCTTTTCAATCGTGACCCAATCATATTAGAAGAGCTGTCAATATTGATTTGCTGTCACGTCCTTTTTTACAAAACTAGAAGTAGAAAAACTCATTTTGTGTATTTCTCTTGATTCCATAGCAAACGATTTTAGAGATAGTTTTTGTTCGTGATAAAACTTCCGTTCGATCACCGAAACATTAAAAGTTAAATCCAACCCTAGTGAAAGTACTCGTCCAGCGAGTACTCAAAAAGTACTCGCGCTAGAAAATGCCGCGAGTGCTCATGAGTACTCGCGACTTTGAGTACTCATCAGTAGTACTCGTGCTAGATTTAGAGCGTCCGAATACGACTATCGAGTACTCGCCTTGAGAAATTGAGTGTTTTCCGAGTACTCACTGTACATTTTCTGAGTACTCTGATGAGTTTTTCGTAAAATACTCATAAGCCTATATTTCGTCCAGCATTATTCTGCTTTATTCATTTTATTTCATTTATCAAGAAGTAGTGAAGCACAAAAGTATATTATGAAATTTTGAGAAATGAAAATGTCACATTATATATTTCTTTAATTTTATTGCAGAACGAGTATAAACATATTATCTTCAGAAGAAAAGAAACTGTATTAAAACACATACTAAACACATTATATTATTACACAAATAAATGGTAAATAATTGTCAAAATTAAAATATACGATAAGCATAAATAGAAATATTTATATTATTACGCAAAAAATGAATATATTAAACTCATAAATACATCTTATTTAGTAATATGTCGAAAGAAAAATAAAAAGTAAATTTTCATGTTTAGTATGACCTTCGTATCTTAAAACTATTGCAATATAAGTAATCTATCTGAAAGTCTGTTATTGAATTTTTGCTTCATTGGTTTTCTTTATATATCGAAAACGTTGTTTAATAGTCTGAAATTATATTTTATCTAAAATTTAGAAATTAATATTCAATGAATTATCATTTGTACATTTGCATACTCCCATTTAATCTGACTTCGAAAATATATGGCTAAGAATGAGAAGTCATTATTCCGTTCATTCGATATAGCCATTGATGAAAGCCTTAATATGAGTCATCAGTTAAAACTTGAAAATAATAAAATTGAGTCCTCAACATATTTCCTGTCGATTTTTCATTGAATTTCATCATTTCTCTATTTGATTTAAGTTTTTTTTTATTTTTGTACATGTTAGTGCATTGGTGTTTCGTTACACGTTCTGTCAAAAACATGAATGAGTACTACTTTGAGTACTCATGCTATCATCCGCGAGTAAGTTCTAGAGAAATAACTCATATGAGTACTCGCCCTAGTACACAAAAAGTATAATTATACATAAAAATTCTCGAGTACTCGAACGAGTAATCCGAGTACTCATGCTGGCAAGTCGTACTCGCTTGATGAGTATTTTCACTAGGGAAAGTTGTTGCTGAAAAAAATAAGGTATACCTCTCAGCCGAAAGTCTAATAAAGTCGGTAACTGTAAAACGATACACGCGTATAAAAGGACACTGAATTTTACAAGTTGTGATTGAAGGAATAATTTCATTACGAAACATCAGAAGAATACTTAAATAATAATTGTGATTTCTAATGTTTGTCGAATATTCTCGAGTTCTTTTGATCATAACTACAAAAACTTATTCATCAGTATGATTCATCATCATCACATCTGTTCGCCATATGAAAGAATATAATAGAACAGAACTATCGATGAATCCAAAATACTATTGCATGAGACAAATAAGAAGCTTGATTAGAAAGAAAAGAAACACACTATAGAAGTACTGTAAAAAAAGATTCGAGCGAAGTTATACTTAAATCATTCTTCATATCATTCTCTACTTATTTTTTATTTACATTAAAACCGAATTATTTTTTAGATCTTCGATCTAAATAAAATATGTCATCTAATGAACAAAATTTTCATTTGGGTACACAAGCTGGTTATATTAGCCAAGAAGATGGAGCATTTAGTGAACGAGGTCGAGCAGATGAAAATGCATATTTTCCTATACAAGAAACTGAACAATTGACTGAATTAAAAAGATAACTTGAACAACAACAATAAAATCAATCTAAATAATGGAACCAATGGTACAATTCATAAAGACCGTTCTTTGATAAACTATTCATCACTGTTTGTAAAACGTGTTTCTGTGTGATTATTTAGCATCTTCACGAAATAAATAAAAAATCCTCTCATTTTTTTAAATGTAAAATGAAGTACCATTTGATAACTACACGAAATTCAACAGTTTTCTGGACGTGTTTCTGATAATGATGGCAAATCGAAAGAGATGCAGAAAATTTAAGAAGGTGGCGGAACCTTATTTCTAAATTAAAAATAAGTAAGCATCAAAGCGTATTCTAATATAGACATTTAGTATTTGTTGTGTATCTCTTTATCTATATTGAAATATTTAAATAAATATAATTCTTGTTCATTCTAATTTAATTAAATTAAATAGAAAATAAATATAATTGTTTTGTGACAGTCTTATATCTTATTCATTCAAATTCTTCCATTTACAATATCAATAAATGAATGAGAAATGTGAACTGCGAAATGAAGATAATATATGATTCGATTAACCTAAATCTGAAGTTAATCAAATAATTTCAAAGTAAATGTCACCGTGACGCGAACTTCGTTTTACTTGGGTGAACTTTCCCATTAGATCGTTAAAGTAACTATTAGCGTGAAGGAAAAACTTATCCAGACGAACAAAGGATTAATTTTATTGTTTAATTTTTTTTCTAATATAATTCTATATGAAAATATTTTTTTTTAAATATTCTGGATTTTTGTTATGTCTACAAATACTTACATTTTTGTACGAATATTATGTTCTCCACGATGAATACGTTCATTTTCATTTTTAGAATATAATATGATTGAGAATTGCTATGAGAAACAACTTTTAATACCTTCACTTTTTTAAAAACAGGAGATTTCTTTAAAAAAATTCAAGATTCCGAGTGTTTGTGATAGTAATTTTCAATCATATTGAATTTTAAAACTGGAAATGAACGTATTTGTTTAGTAGAACATACTACTTCGTACACCATTATATGGTCAATCGTTTGAATTTTTAGTCTACAAGTTTTTTTTTTAGATTCTTTATTTATTTTACGCATATTGTTTATTATGTGGGATTCATTAAAAGTGAGTGGTGATAGGAAATTTTCGATCAGTCAATTGACTTTTTGCTTTTTATGTATCTATTAGAGAAAAGCTAAAGATGCTGGTAATGCTAATCGACAACTATGTACTTTTATGGACAATTTATCTTCAACAAGCTCCGAATGTCAACCAAATGTCATATCTACTCAAGTCACAGATGATGACATGGTAAGCAACTAAAATCAAAATTTTTCTCAAAGAAAAGAAATTTAAAAAAAAATTTCCGCGGTGATGCAACTTATCGATGAGCGAGAGCGAAAATGGGCGAGAATGACTGATCACAATGAACTTTATGAGCACACGTCGAAGAAATAAAATGTCGAGACTTTTCCATGTAGCGACTTGTTTGACCGCGCGCATAAAAAAGAGGTTATTCAGAAAGAGCGAAAAAAAATGTTCTTATCGTTGTCCTCTGTTCATGTTCGTCTTCTAGAGAGTAGCGGGTCCATGTTTTTATGGACCCGGACCGAGACCCGGGTGATATCAAATTCCCAGATCCGGACCCGGACCCGGGTGGCATTAATTTTCTAGACCCGGGCTTGACATATACGGACCCGGACCCTGTCGGGTTCAGACCCGGACCCTGTCGGGTTCAGACCCGGACCCGACCGGATCCAGACCCGTTAAGTGTTTCACCAATATCTAGCACCGTCTGTATATATGAACAAGTGAAGACTCATGGTTTTAGCTAATTATTGACTATTCTCAGAGGAAAAGTTTATGTACAGGTATTTCCTGTATATAACATGAAAAATTTGAATAATCTGTTGAGATACAATTTGACACAACTTCCGTAGAACATTTTTTAGTGTTTTTTTCTTTAAAGTAGTGACAATGCGGTAAAAGTCGGTCTTGACCAACTTTTCTATGAGAGGATATTATAAGTTAAAATTTTGGAATTGTTAATTTCGGACATTAAAGTGCTGAACGAGGAAAAAAAATCAAATTTTTTTTTTCATCCCGTGCCGCCTATATGGACATGTTATTCGACCGTCTCGCGAATTCTCTCTTAATTATTTCTATAGTTGTTTTTTTTAGAAATCAGTAGCAAGATTTGCTTCTTAAGTTTGGAAATAAATGGGCAACTTTGTGATGATGTTGTAATTAAAGTATGTAATGCTTCTTTTTAGTCATCCTCGTCCTCTATTTTTATTTTTTATTTTAGCCTTACTATGATAAAGCACCAATCACGTGTAGTATGTTTTGCTAACGTAAGTTTTAGCAATTTATAATACTTTTTTTGTTTTTAGCCTATTTTAAATCAATTTGTACAGACAAGAGCAATTTCGATTACGAAAAAACATCCTTAAACTATCTATGCTTCAACAAATTTATTTCAGGTAAACATTTTTTGATCAAAATTTTGAACCTCTTTTGTTTTTATAATAGGAGGAGAGAAGAAACTTGTTAATAACGATGGAAAAGAGTAAGAATAATCATCTTCAGTTACTCCTACAATATTTTTTCTTTTATTTTTAGAATTTTACTTAAAATACAAAAAGAAAAAGATGAACGTCTTTCTCATGATAAAGCAGGTCTCATCAGCATGTCGATATACGATTGTACAACTAGATTTTTTATAACATTAAGTACGTTGATTATCCTTTCAATTTTTCATAACTGATTGTACTTGTTACTTTTTAGATCTGGTGACAATTTTATATAAAACTAATGTAAGTTAAATCTTATTGTATAATACTTATTAACTTTATTCATGTTAAATAGGTTGTGTTTGGAGAAATTACACACGGTATGGATATGATACATAAAATCAATCAATTAGGTATATTCAATTTCGCTCTTCCCAGTTGAAATATTTCGATTAATCCAAACATTTTTCACTGAATTGCTTAATGCACAGTTTTATTTGTGTTATAGGTATTCGAAAAGTTTATGAATTTAATCCTGGTCAAATTTGTGGTGATGGTGGTACTGGTGATATTGTTTATCATGATCAAGATGATATTGCTGGTGAACCAAAGGATACAGTCCTAGTCTATGCTTGCGGCGAAAGATAATTAATTTTTCCATGTTTTTTTATCTTAACATGTTTTTTTTATGTACAAAAGAACAAGATCTTAATCATCATATGTTGGAACATAAAAAACTGTATTCATTTCACATGGAATCAATCGTATATTTAATTCTCGGTTACCACCACCTATATCTTCATTCCATGGTTGTACATCAGCAAAACGAATTAATAAAAGTTTTATGTCATGAATTGATAAAATTGGTAATGTTTCACGAATAGCTGTTGCTTTAATTATATTGGTATCATATCTAAATGAATGACAAAATTATTGTTACAGTGTGTTCTTCTTTAACATCTACCTCGATCCTATCTATTCTCTTTTCTTTGTTATTTTCGTTTCTTTTATTTCTTTCCTTTGCACTTGATTAACCTCTGTATTCTTCTATATTTTGTCCTTAGTTTTCATGTGCGTATATAAACACTTGTTTTGTAAAAGAATAAACAGAGAGAATAAACCACACACGCACGTTAACTGTGTTCGTCGCTCTTCGTGAGCGCGAACCCTAACAATGATGAGATAGTAATTTAATCAAGATCGCGTATGTTGATGCACTTTTGCCAAATGTTTTATATCGAAAGTAATCAGCTAGACTACACTACACTCGAATCGAAAACAGAGCTTCGAGTTAGACTTTAAAAAAATCAATTACAAATTTTATAGAAACAATCTAAGTGTAATTGACTATCATTATCATTTGTTGTTGGCGATGATGATGCTTGTTCAAGATCAAATTCTAAATATGATTTAAAATAATCAAATTTTCTTAATCATAAAACGTCGACTAAATCATTACGTAATGCACAAGTAGAAATAATGTTGAATAATAATAAAAGTAGTATATATGATAATTTATCAACGCTATTAAGAAAACTTATTAGTTATATGCCAAATGAAGCTGATGAAGTTTTTACACGATCTGTGATAGAAATCGGAAGTTCAAAAGATTATTTTTAATTATGAATTTCTTGAAGATCAATTTTCAATTTTTAAATGGAAACAAGATAAATATTACAAAAAACAAACAAAAGAAGACATAATATTAACCTTAATTCAAAACTCATTACGAGTTGTTGCTTTGCTTTGAAGAAACATTCAAACAAAAGATTTGAGCAAAAAAAAAGGTCAATTTAACGAATAGTTTAATCATTTGATGAAAGATAGAATCGATACTAATGATCAATTAGTTTTTTTTCTAGTGAGATATAGAATCTTTCTTCATGCATGTTTTGAAACACCATTTGATGCGCTACAAAAGTATGAATCACTTTTTTCATGGTTGAAAAAAATTCTTTTTTCTGAGAACTCGGCTATGCTTATCAGTGATGAACAATCGTAGGTTAATTTTCTAACAACATGTTCTTTTTGGTAGATTTCTACATCCTAGCAATATTTTACTTTTTTTCTACGTGACGGCTTTGTCATATGAAAAAAGTAAAGATATATCTGTAAATAACTTTGAAAAGTTGAATCTATAGATGTATGTTTCAGCTAAAAATAAAGTCTAGCATAGTTTTTCATCACTGGCACTTTAAGTCAATATTTTTGTTAAGAAATGAAGCACATACATTATTTTCTTTTTACTTATTTTTTGTTTTTCGAATAGAACTATTCAACTTGTTTTTAGCAACTGAATAATTATTCGTTTTCGGTTTCTTGGAAATTTCAAGTGAAAACTGTTTATGATCTTGGAAATTCTCTAACGTATGGCAATCCTCTTTAAACGTTTTTGACTAAGAAGAAATCGTCCTTTATATTCCCTATATTTTCACAAAAATTCTGTAAAAATTCTGCTTCAAACCGAAGCTACCCTACCTATATCTCGAAGACGGATCTCTACGAAGCCTGCTTATGTATTTTGTATATAACAATATTAGAGAAACTAAAACTTCAATAGACAACACTTCAAAGATTCAATTTGGTTGTATATTGATTGCAATCATTTTTTTACTTCTCACTGAAGTCATTAATACAGACAGATTCGCTTAATAAAATACATTTTTTTTGAAATGTATAATTAATTATTTACTAATAACCAATATTCTCAACGATATGCTATATATTTCTTTGCTGTATTCTCATAAGAGTTTTTCGTATTGATATAGACTTTGAATTTGATTTTAATGAACATGAATCAGTAGCGACACTCTGTTAGAATTTATAGTGATTACACTTGTTGTTTTTTTCATTTTCAAAAACAAACGAATAGTAAAGGTAAAGGTAAAGTATACGACAGTTGTTTATGCTCTCGTATATTGACTGTGACATTCATTTCCTATATATTCAGAGACTCGACAAGAAAAATTGGGTAATGCACGTGTAAATGCAAATTACTATTGGGGATACTAACGAAGAAAAAGATAAAAATCTTTTAATAAGTTTTTTTAGAAGAAAACGTCGCCAAAAATAATTACAAAGAAAATTTTGTATTCGACAATAACAACAAATTGGTAAGTAAATTCACCGATTTTCGTAAGAAATATTTTGGTTTTTTCTATATATCCGACGATTTGTAATAGACGATGCCTGCAGTGTAAGGCTTCCTTCTACAAAATTCACATGTTACTTTATTTTTTCTATTTAGTTATATCGAAAAACTTGATGATAAAAATATTGTTTTTAAATTTGCTAATGGTTCATTGAAAGTAACTATTCGACAGGGTGATTTAAGTAAAGAAATATGTGATGCTATTGTTAATTCAACAAAAGGATCAATGCATCCTAATGGAGGATTGGATGAAACAATACATAAAACGATGGGTAAACTTTTTGTTGATCAAGTAGAAGCAGTTACAAGAGAAATGCAAGATAATTCATGTCCTATTGGACAATCACGAATATTTGTTGGAAA